GCGTGGTGTAACTGTTCACCACGCTGCCTTGACTCTCTGCCCATCAGCTCTCCTTCTCTAAAACAGGATAATGCCACCTCTTCATATCATGTGACCACTGTGCAGAGAAGTGAATTAAAGCCTACACGGCACGTGGATACTAGTGAGACAAGAAAGATAAAAGAGCAAAAGGAAATTAAATAGTCCTGTTTACAGAACAGCATTTGAACTGAGTGAATGGTGGTATGTTTGTTTTATTAACTGAGCTCTGAAACTTAGAAAAAAAAAAACCCAAAATTGACTACTACTTTAACTTTAGAGACGTTGTCATACTGTCCAAAAGGGGGGGAATTAAGGTTAAAGGGGGGAATCTAAGGTTACACAGACAACCTAATATTAAAGTTACTTAATTTTGAGCGTGTGACCTAGCATCCCTAATAATATTATTTTAACATATTTTTTAATGTGTAATTATTTATAAAGCTCCAGACAGTAGGTGTGCATGATGCTTTATAGGCATATAAAATTGTCTGATCCCTGCCCCTAGGAGCTTGCGTGATGACACCACACAAGGGATGGGAAAAGAGGGGGTATGGGAGGACAGGGTTGCAACACTGTGAGATCATGAGATGTACTTACTGCTACATAAGCAACATTTCAGCTTCTCTGTGGTTTTCTTGTTACTCATTTAACACTATATATTAAAATTTGGTGAACAGATACATAACACAGAGACATCAACCGTAAGAAAGGATATGAATAAAGAGAACTATGTAGTACAATGTTCAGAGTCAGCAGTTAATATTAAAACATGCACAGCCAAATGTTGCATATAGTCAACTATTTATACGGTTTAGCCTTTGGCACCTTCAGCTGAGGTCTGGGTTCTGCTCCACCAGGTACTGTACAAATGTATCATGAGATACGATAGCTGTGTTATGGTTTTTACCATAAAAAAGTAGTCAGTGGCAGAAGGGGGTATCACAGACAGAGAGACCAAGTTGGTTTAACAGGTTAGAGGCAGAGCTAAGGGTAGAGTGGTTTGACACTTGTTTTGATATTCTAATTGCTAATTAATGTGTATTTAGATCACTATTGCTTGAAGAAGAATCCTAAAACCAAACCAAACCAAACCAAAAATAGTGCACTTGCAAGTTGCTCCCGCGTACTAGAAAACAAAACCATACAGCAGCTTGGAAACCCTAGAATCCATGTACCTTCTTTTAGAAATTTCTGTTTCCGTGCTCTGGGAACTGAACGAGAACTGAGCTCTGCTGCGGCTATCATTTCTGTTTGTGTAAAGCCCGTGGTACATGTAATTTCTGACTCTGACATACTATTACCCTGCTATGTGCTGACAAACCTATCGCATGTCAAAGACTGTATCATTAAATGCTCACAAGTTTCCTTGACTTCAGCAGACGAAGAACCTGATGTGACATTCTGATGCTATCAGGCATATCAGTCACACAGAAATCACCCAGGACATCCAGTAAACAATTCTAGAAACTTGAAGAAAAATGAATTTAAAACTAAACACACAATTAACTAAAGTAAGAAACATGGCAAAATATTCTTGATCTCCTGAAGCACAGGCTAAGCCTCTGGACCAAATGTAGTTAGGAACTGTGGACTTGATTCTGCTCTTCACTGCAGTTCTTCACATTTGCATGTGCAAAATACTACCTGGATCTTTTTATAGCCCTTTACACTCTAAATATAATTTGCTTCTACTTTAAGGGTACTTTTCACAACCCACAGAGTACAAAATGATTCTAGTACACAGCATTATAAATTCTTAGGAATTTGTTATTTCACCAGGTGAAAAGCCCAAGTTTTTTCTGGCTTCAGTAGTTCTCAGCTTCAAGGAGGACTCGGATTCACTGCTGCTAACCACCGTTACTTTACAGTAGCAACATGTTCTTCCAATTTTCTTTGTTGTTATCTTCCTTATAGAATTCAGTTAGATCTTGGTACATGGATCACTAGTGTACCAAGAAGAAGATAGACAGGAATGAATAAGCTCTGCGTAAAATTTTCCTTTAAGTTTTGTAGCTTATGAGGTATATTTAAAGCTCTGTATAGCTTGGTATCAATTATTCACATGAAGTGCATTTTGACTTGTCTGGGGACTTAAGAAGCTGGTTTGGTCCTGAAAGCAGCCTGTTCATCAAAGAACTATGTACAATTTCAGAGTTCCCAACACATTTTATTAGTGGGGTGGCAGCTGTTCTGACAGTGGAAGTGGAAACTGATGTTCTCCAGATTTGGATGTACTCAAAATTGTACTCAGAATTGATTTATATCTGATTAAAAAAAGAATTTCATGCAAATAGGTTTAAAAAAATATTTTTCCTTCCTTCTATGCTTAGGAAGTGGCTTTTGAAAACTCAGTAATTTGACCTCAAAAGGATTTAGAAAAGCAAAATTTTCAAAGCTGTTTTGTTTACAAAGATAGGTTAGGAGTGGAATTAGATTTACCTTCAAATATTACTGGCACATTCAGAGCATAACATTTTAAAAGTTATTACTATCAGCATCACTGTTATGTCAATCTAAGTGGCTGCTGACATAAGATTAAAATACATCACAAATGTTAAGTTTTCGCCATACACTAAAGCTGATCTGAAGAAATTTTGCCTTTCCAGAGCCTAAAAGATAAATAGTATTTATGAAAAACAACAACTGTATCCTACTTTAGTCCCAAATCACTCCTTTAAAATTATGGATATATTAGATAAATACACAATATTTAGCACAACAAAATCACAGAAAAAAAATAAGTTGGAAGGCTAGTCCAACCTCCTGCTCCAAGCAGGGCAAATTTTAAAACCAGACCAGTCTGCCCAAAGCTTTGCCTGCATGAGTTGTGAGAATCTCCAGAGATGAAGATTCCTCGACTTCTCTGGGCAACCTCTTCCGCTGCTTAACAGTTCCCAGTTTAAGGAATTTCCTCCTTATATTCAATTTTTATTTCTTTTAGGGCAGTTGTGACAGATGCTTCCTGTCCTTTCACAGTGTATTCCTGAGAATATCCTATGAGAAGCCTCATAGTCCTCCTTTGGTTTAGGAAAAAACTGCAATCAGGTCCCTCCTTACCCACACTGCTTTCCCAAGGTGAACAACCTAGTTGCTTCCCTTGCCCCAAATACCCCACGTGCTCCAGTGACCTAGCGCTCTCAGTGTCTCTACTCTGGACCCTCTCCAGGTTGGCAATCTCTCTCTTGGACTGGGGGACCAAGGCTGCACATGAAGCTACAGCACTGGCCTCACAACAGCTGAGGGGGGGAAGTTACCACCTTCAACAGGCAGTGCAGCACACTATCCTTCCAGCTTCCTCTCCTTTGGCTCAACAAGACCCCTAAGCAACAGTCCTGCTAGACAGCTAATGAAACGTCCTGCTGTCTCTTCTGTGTGCACTCTTTCCAACTAGTAAAAATTTTGTGTGTTTGTGTGGCAAAGAAAAATCTAAATATACAGAATATATATCTCTGGCTGAAGGAAGAGAATACTGACTTTCAGGAGGGAGTGTTTCACAATGACCTATGGTCAATCTTTAATTGGTTAAAAAAACAGAAAAAGTTCCCCCCAAATTGTAGATTATTAATATTGTTATTACAGTGCTTTGCTTTGATGTCTTTGCTCAACAAAATGCTAAGTTCTTCCTCCCCCGCTGAATGTGCACGTGTGTTTTTCTAGCCAGGCTAGATCCTGCATTTTGAGGAAAGCTGGAATAGCCTATTTATCTCACAAGGATTAATCTAAGTGTACTGAAATTAATGGGTTGCTTTTCTGGATCACATCTGGAATCTTAATTGCAGTTACAATACTAGCCTATCTAATCCTTCCAATAGAAACTGCTTCACAGCCTAAGACACTGCAAAAGGACAAATCACAAGAAAAATGTGTTTTTGAGCAAGTATCTAAGTGAGGCTTGACCTTGTCCCCATTGATACTGATGGATAAAGAAAAACCCTGAGATCATTCCAATAGCTTAAATACTGACTTTGGCCTAATTCATCCCTAAGTTATCACCCACTGCATGATCCAAGATGAAGTTCTCACTCAGAAATGTGTGGAAGGAAATAACTAGGTCATGATACATACCCTTATGAAGGGGCTACAGATTAGCAGTTAAATGGAGAGAGACCAGAAAGCACAGACTTTGTGTCAACTGAGAATTCAGAGGAATTTCTGGCCCCTGTTCCATGACTCTGCAGCATCACACAGAGCGGATCCCTGTCAGTATTACCAGGCCACCCTCCTTGCTGGAGGCACAGCTTCCTATTTAGTCAGTTTGTATTTGCAAAGTCCTATAAATTTTGGGTTCCCTTTGCAGCCCTGCCACCAACTATGTGAGTTTTGGCAAACTAACAGTGTCAGAGTCATTTGTGCTTGAAGGCAGTTCCTAGTTAAATTCCAGGTTCTTGTATTTTCTTGGAAAAACTGCAGAAAAATGTTTGTTTATGTGAAAAAAAAACAAAAAAAAAAGGAAATATGCTGAAAAAAACCACCCCAAAGTATAACGCCAGTGCAGGTTAGCAGTAGGTGAATATATATATATATAGATGCATGCACACACTCCCAAACCAATCTCCAAAGTTCACTGCATACAATCATTTTCCACCTGGCTTGAATTTTCCATTATATGACCTCCATGTCATTTTTCTGGATCAATACATAGTAACATTTTAAACACTTCAGATGCTATCAGAAGTACAAAATAAACCAAACTGTAACAAAATTATTTCAGACTCCTTGAAGAAATCAACTTTGGAGGGCAGCGGATCTTTTGCAAGAAATGAACTACAAGTTCAAACAAAAAAGTGACCTTTGCCTGTTGCTACAAGTATGTCACTGGAGGGGATTTGGCAGTGAGCGTTCCACTGGGAGGAGTCACTTGGCAATGGTACTGGTTTATGAAAGAGCAAAAGAAAGTATAAATTGGTTTTCTTAAATGATTCCCTACCAGGACGACATGCAAGATATTTTCACAGAGCTGGTGGCAAGTAAATATTTACCTCTGTGGAGCACTGTCAGATTCCATGCTATCGCAGGAGGTGTTCTTCACAGCGCATGTCTCTGTGCCACACATCGCATCTGCCTCAGCTGAGTCCATGTAACCATTGACCAGCTTGATGTCTCTCAGCTTCATACTGTCATTTTGTGAATCCAAAGATACAATGTCAGATGGGGAGCTCACAACACCCGAGTCCTCTGTGGTGTCCTCAGATGCAAAACAGCTGCTTTCTGATGCCGTTTCTTCCACCTCTGATAGCTCCAGAACTGTGTCATCCACTACATAAACATTATCATGTGCAGACAGCAGGCTCTCTAAATGAAATACAGCAAGGAAAGTTAGCTGAAAGTCATCAGTACATAAATCAGAGAGCTATTCTTTCGTAATTGGAAAAAACCCACATGAAATACATTAGAAATAGTAGGAGGGAGCTCAGTATTTGTATATAAGATAAAGATGATTTGAAGTGACAAAAATTATGTCCTTCGCTTTTAGAAAGGCAGTTTGCTCTGCCAGTTCTGTGGAATTTGGGTTTTATAACTTTCATAGCATATCAGTTTCCCTAATTCTATGAAGAAAAAACTTTCCAGGAACAGTTTCTTGGGGAATTAGACCCAAGTTTAAATGATGTGGTTCAAGAAATCACTCTTGTTATCCCTTCTGTCAACATAATCTCACTGTTCCTCTTCCATTCTGCCAAACAGGTAATGACATTTCTAATAAGAAGTCTATATACAGGTAAAACCAGGCAGTGTTTCCCAGTCAGGATACTGAATTGGTAAACTAGATCTACTGCTGGCCCACTGGGTGTCATTTATTTTACCAACCTTCAATTTTAATTTTGCTTTAAGTGGGAGAATAACAGTTGTTTATTTTTCAAAGCATATAAAATCTACTAATAAATGTAGAGAAAAGCAGACAGTGCCATGCCTAAAGCAGAAACTTTTCCAGTGCTTAGTCACTTATAAAGGAGATCAAGGGATATGCCCTTTGCATGTTCAATTCTATTAAAAGTTGCAAATTTTGAGAGAAGATTAGACACAGTACAATTTCTCATACTCTGTTTTAGTTCGGTTCCTGTGAGCTACCCCCTTTTGTGTTTGTTTGTTTGCTTTTTGTAAAAAATACAATTTTTTAATTTCCCTTAAGAAATGTACTCTAGATTCCATCATGCAATTATACCATTAAAGGAGAACTCCCAACAAGGTCAATAATTTCAATGACTGAAATTATTGAGTGATGAAAGACAGGATCGAGCCCAAACATATGTCTCTTGATCAAAAAGAACCAATAAAGACTAATCTAAATGTTTAATTTGGAATTATAAGTGTGTGCCATTCACTTCTACAACCTCAGTAAGCAAAAGAAAGATTAAACATCAGTTTACGGTCTGATCTTCCAGACACTTGTGGTGGATGTTAATTACATGAGAAGTCCCAAGTCTATAAGCATGACTAAGACTAAACATACACTTCACTGTATTTTATGGTCAGAATCTACAACTTTTTGAGGCTTACATGAAGCTACAGCTCAATAAAAATTATCAACAGAGAGAAATATTTCTGAATTATTTTGAATACACTAAAGTATTTTCTTTAAGTCAGAGAACTGAAAACAATTTTGTCAAAGAATGTCACAGAAATAATTTTGTAAGGGGGTAGCTTAGCAGTGAAACTTGGAGTGAAACTAGAATAAAAATCAAGCCAACATTCTCCTTGACTGAGGTTACAAGATGCCATTAAGTACTGAAATTGATTTCTGACAGCAGAAGCAATAAAATTCATAAGGTTGCAAATCATGATTAAAGTTTTAAGTGCTGTCAGGCATCGGTATTAATGATGGAAGATGATCCAAAGACTCTATTGCAACTTTGGAAGAAATGTTATTTGATTTCTTTGACCTTATTTTCTGTACCATTAGTTCTAGATTCTAGATTTAATCCAAGAGATGGTTCCATTTTAAAATGGCAATTACAGGAACTAAGTATGTGTCACTGAATGGATTTGAGTAGGCTTATGACAGAACTACAGTTAGGAAAACACTAACATGAAGCATAAATATGAATAATTTGACATTGAACATCAAATAATAAAACCCAAAAAAACCAGACAGTGAAGAAACAAGTAATAGTATGTGGCCTTCTTGGCTTTTAAACAAACAAAAAAACCCCAGTAACAACCCACCACCAAAACATTAGTAAAAGCAACAATATGTTAAAACCAGGACAAAGTAGGATAGCAAAGAAATCAGTTTAAAGAGTGGAAGTTGAAGAGTGGAAGCACACAGGAAGATTTTTAAGCAATGCACAATGCAGTATACTTTGATGCAAAGAGACCTCTATATAATACAGGCCAGATCTGTTGTCACCTGGATGCCATGAATGACCTCTGCCCTACAGCTGGCACAGCAATTTATAACAAAGTACCTACTCCCAGATCGTGACACCAGGATGGCAGCCTTTTCCTCCCTAGCTGTCTCTCCCATTTCCTCATCCTCTTCTTGCCTGCCTGCAACTATTTCCTGCATCTTTCTGCTCAGGGATTTAGATCCTTTTGGTCACACGGCCCTACTTGGTATTACTGTAGTAATAACAACACTCAAGTCTCTCCCTGCTCTATGGCAGGATCTCTACCCCCAGCTCATTGTTCCCACATATTGACAAATAAAATGAAAAATAATTCTCTTATTACCAGGGTCCACGTGCAAGTTAATCCCTGTTATGTCTAGATCTTGGCAGCTGAATTACCCAGTTCAGAATAAGAACATTCTCATTCAACAGCAGTTTTATCCTGAAGCATAGAACTACAAACAGACATCTTTCTTCTCAAGTAAAACCAAAATGCCCCCTTTTCTTCAAGTCTATCATTTTGTCTGATAGCACCTCCCTTTTATCTTCACCAAGAAGATTCATGAATTTTAAACACAATTAACACATGGCACTGAACAGAGTTGTTGGCTACTTGTCTGAACATGAAAGCACACATATAAAGCATGACTATGATGGTTCTGTGTCATGTTAACAACCTTGTTTTAGCTAAGAGCAGCACTAAAACACCTCTGTTTTAAATTTGAGCCATTCTTTGATGGATTAAGTAAGAACTACTTTTCCTTCTACATGCTTGATTAAGTCTTCGCTGGGGCAAACTGAAGATGGATGGGCATTACTGGGTAATGATACATGACATGAAAAAAGCCTACCTCAACTCTTCTGAGTAGTCTTGACTTTAGGAGTCAGGATATACCTTATAAAACTTTCTAATTCTACATGGAGAACAGGGTAATATCCAGTAGTAGATGTGATTCTGCCTTGTAATTTTTGCATATTTTTTTCTCCGAGGGGATGCACCTGCAGAAAACCACCACACACTAAACGCAGTGTGATCACAATGATGGCAGCTATTGAGGTTATTTTTTGGTCGAATAAAGAAAAATCTCAATATTTGCTTCTCTTTTGTCTTTCATAACCCTACGACACTTTCAGGTTCTGATCTTCACAACCTCATGCAGACATATCCAGTTTCAGAAAGAGTATGCAGCAACTACTTCAGGACTGAACACACAAGTAATAACTGCCACAGATAACATATTATTGAAACACTTCTGTACCTCAGAAGACTGAGTTTTCAAATATATAAGTAACATGTGACCCCATTCAGTGGCATCAGGTGGGGCGTGATATTGAAAGGGGTGTAGAAGTTGGCCCACTGTCTCCAAGTCATTCTAAAATCTCCATGGGACATCTCACCCACAAATGAAACTGGAGAGAGTCCATCAACACCCTGCATTGCTGCTTACCTATGTCCTGCTTCACATTGCAGACACTGCTAAGCCCAAATGAGTGCTGTAGCAGGGATCTTCCCAGATTCGCAGCAGCAGTGCTGTCGCTGCACAATTAGGTCAACCACACGTTACAAAGGCTTTCTTGCAGAGGGGGATGTCTGTTTGCAAGAATGTTGCCCGTGACCATCAAGAGGGAAAGAGAAGAGCTCATGAGTAAAGAATGTGAGCTTCTTGTTTAACACAAAAGAGATCTTGTCGCTTTAATCTCAATAGTCTGTAAGTAATTAGGAAAACACTGAACTCTGAGTTTAGAGGAGTCATATCTGCACTCGTGCAGTTTGATATCGCATATATGTACACATTACTCATGCAGAATGCCAATGATGGGAGACAGATAAACCTCACCTTGTTTAAATGCAAATCAGCACTTTCAGAAATGAAGATTTAATTCAATAGGTAAAAAACTACCATGGGTAAAATACCCACTTTGATTACCACCGTTAAAATAACCATCATCGAATTTGAATGAGACTAGAATCAGACCTAAGTGTTCAAAAGATGCATATCCCACCTGGACTCACAAAATCAGTCAGCAAAGCCCAAGCCATCACTCCTTCTGAGACCAATGGGCACAGGGTGTAAATCGTAACTGTTCAGAATGTGCTGTGACCTTCTGGTTTTACAGCACTGCTGGTGGTTTATTGTCACATTCAATAATGACAGAAACAGTACATGCAACAGCATTTCTGAAGATGTAACAGTTGATTCACCCCTACATGATGAGTAACCTGAACTTCACAAGGGTTTTAGAGACATAGAGTTCCTCTAGCTCATCTGACTCTTGCTAAGAGGTTGGTAATTGTTTTACAATTTCTTTCATCATTTGTTCCACTGCCAAAAAACTTTCTTTTCATGGACTAAAATTGCTTTACCATAGTTCAAATGGTCTATTATAACGAAGTTGTAAAAAAATATTATAAACTTCTTGATGTTAAAGAATACTAATTCTTATAATGATCCCCAAATTGGAACATAATTCTTTCAATGACAGTACTTAAAACTTCTAGCAAGAGAAAGAAACATTGCTCTAATTATTTGTATGGGCAGTAAAAAGTTAGACTATCACCAAAGACCAGTATTGTGCACTTTTTTTGTACACTTGGAAGAAGGCTGATGGAAGAAATGGGAAAAGAAAACATTTGTGGTGGCAATTATTTACAGAGATAATGAAAACAACATAGGATTAGCTTAAGAGTTTTCCTACAGGTACAATGTGTTCTTGTTACATTTCAGTCCTTTTGCTCATCGATCCCAAACTTTTACATAGAGATAAGCGTTAAAGACTATTCAGCGTGCAGTTAAAGCACGAGAAAGAATGGGTGGCCTTCTCCCTATCATAGTTAAAACTATTATAATTCAACATGCTTCTTAGCATATTTGAGCCTACATGCATACATTATTTAAAAAAAAAAATTAAAAGAAACAAAGAGAAAATAAATGCCCACTGTTATAGACTAATAATAGCATGAGAGGAGTGGGGGAATAGCTCGAGACCCAAGGCACTCCTTCTCTCCCAACTTCTGTAACTGCCTTGCAGAAACTGAAGCTGGGGCCAGGAAAGGCTAAGGAGAGATACCATGCTTTGCAGCTCCAGGTCTCCTCCAAAGTGAGGATGTAGAGCAGCTTAATGTTGGCTCAGCTCATTTAGGTCACAGAATCACAGAATAATTTCATTTGGAAAGAACCCCTGGAGGTCACCTAGTTCAATGTCCTCCTCAAAGCAAGGATAACTTCCAGCTTCAACAAAGTAGCTCAGGACCTTGATCAGCTGAGCTTTGAAAATCTCCAAGCATGAAGACCCCTGGAAAAAATCATGAATCATTCTCTGGGCAATGTCTAATGCTTCTCCCACTTAAGAACATTTCTTTAATGTCAAACTAAAAAATTTCTAGCTGCAACTTGTCACTGTTGCAGTCTTATCCTTTTGCAGTGAATCTCAGAGAAGAGTCTGGCTCACTCTTCCTTTTCAATGCAAGACAGCATTCAAATTCTCCTTCTGCAGGCTGAATAAGCCCTGTTGCCTAAGCACCTTCATGTATGTTTTTGATGCCTTCTGCCAGACTCTGGTGCCTCTGGTTTGTCAGTACCTTGTTTTAGAGAACTCAAAACTGGACTCACTTTTGGACAATGGACTCATATGTGGCTTCATGGCAGCCAAATAAACGAGAGTAATCATTTTCTCTGATCTGCTGGCTGTGCTCTTGCTAGTGCAACCCAGTCTGTGGTTAGTGCTTCATCACTGTAAGGGCACGTTGCTGACTCACACAGTCCTGCATGTGACTCCCAGTTCTCACACAATGAGACATTTTCAGTCTCCTTCCTAGTCTCATGCCCCATGCTTATGTTTTCCAATAGATTCTTTAATTGCAGTTATTCTCACTGCACAAACCCCGCAAACAGCAGTAAATCCATTCCTTTACATGCTAGCCAACAAAAAAAATTAAAAGACTCACAAAGGATGTCTCACCAGACATACCATCAGAAAGTTACAAATGGAGTGTTATTAGATACACACTGTGAATCTTCAGCATTTCCATAGTTAATCCCAAACTAATGACAGTTAACTTAGCTACCTAGATCTACTCTCCTTTGGTTGAAAAATAAATGCAATGTGGACTCATTTAACCTGCCTTATGAATTTGGGTAGTTAAGCACTTCCCTTGAGGTTAAACTTGTCTGTTTTTAGTTGATATCACAACAGAAAAGTATTGTAACTTCTACAAAAGTTTTTTTGGCAAAGGTGTTTCCTACACCAAAGGCAATACAAGATAGGATCAAGCCAGGGAATGAGAACTGAAGAGTGTTCCAGTCCCTCTATTGTTTTTCCCATGTAAAAGTAACTGTGAATGTCTGTGCACTAATGTTTGATTTTCCTTTCAAATGTATACTGAAAATGATTGTGAAGTCTCTCTCTCAAAACAACACTACCTAAAATGTCTGCTGGCTCTTGAAAGATTGAGAGGAAACTACCACTGCAAGTAAATGTCTGCTACACTCTCCCATTTCAGACCTTTATTTTTACCACCTGCCAAACAAGAAAGGAAAAATTTCTGAACTAATACAGCGCAGATTTTCAGACCAAGAAGAATTAACATATTGAACTTTATTATTCCTATTTCTTTCCCACAATCCTTTCTTCAGTGATTGAAAAAGCCTCTCTGACCTCTGCAAAGCCCATTTGACCTAGAATGCTGTTGCTATTGCTAAACTGCTTTTCATCCTCTCCTTTCTGGCACTCCCGTGAAGCTACTAGTTCCTCGCTTTTATAAAAGACTTGTTTGGACTCTCTGACAAGTCTACATCATAGCCAGTAACTAGCCTTCCTTATTCAAAGGGATCAGATGTCATAAAAGTGACATGAAGAGCAAAATGCTCTTTGACAGAAAAAGGATCATTTGTCAAAGTAGATCTTCCCTTGATTAACATGAGCACATAACCACTTGGCTTAGGAAAGGACAGATTTTAGAAAATGAATGAGTAGTGTGGATTGTTCGTTCATTTCCTTTTATTCACAATGAAGTATGATGGGAAGACTTTCACAACAGTTCCTGGTGTTCACTATCTAAGTTTAACAGAAAACTAGAATGATTCAGAAGGTGCTTTCAGGGCTCTAGATGGTCCTTTATTCAGGGTGAGGAGAGTGTGCATAATCCATGCAGTTCAAAAAACTATGAACAAGCAGGTTAAAGGAGGAGGATAATATGAAAATATATTTAAGAGAATATTATAGATAACTTCAGAGTTGCATTTCATAAATCACCATGTGTAACACTGGTAACTTGCCGTGTTAAATAACGGGGCTCTTTGGGGACCATAGAGGGAAAGGAAAATCTAGATCTAAAACCAGAGATTGCGCAATGTAATGAGCCTGGTGAAGACATAAACCACTCTCCACATTTTTCTGGGAATTATTAGTCTTAAGTGATAGATTTGGGCAATTCGCATCCTTTACAGAGGTGGTCGGTTTCCATTCATGCACACTGCAGAATCTAAACAAATGGACTGTGAAGGTGATTTTCATGAGCCACCTCAGAGAACACACTCTATAAAACTGCATGAAAAGCATATCCAGTGTAATGATTAAACCCAGAAATGATTAGTGTACCTATGCAATAAAACAATGTTTTATTAGGTGATTTTTAAGACCACAGAAGCTTTTATTTTTAAACTTCACTATCTTTTTCCCCCAGTGCACTCTGTATCAATTCTCATCCTTACTTTGTCTGTTAACAATTCCATAAAATCTCTACTACAGTTTTGTATTTATAGCATAATCCAGAGGAGAAAAACATAAAACACTTTTGCATTGTAATTATACTTTCCTTGCCCAGCAACTAGCTGCCAGCAAACTCAGCAAAGAGACACAAAAACCCAACCCTAAACCAAACACACATACACACATGTACACACACAGTTGTGGGATTTAAGAGCTCTTTTTCATAGTACAGACACACCACTCACAGTTTTGTACTTATTTCTAATTAAAAGTGACTTAAAAGTTAGGGAAGGTGGAAGAGAATCAGGTCAATCTATAATAATCTATCGATTACTGAAACCATTAGGTATTAAACAGCTAAAAATAAAAAAAATTGAGCAGTTGCTTTCTATTTATGGGGACAAAGTATACCTGCCTTAGGCACAGAAGCACTTCTACTGAGAACTGCTGCACAAATGAGAAAAAAACCCCTTCCTATCAATGCAGACTTACTAGGCAGTCATGGGAACAAATAATGGTTCTGCTCCATACCAAAAGGTAAGAGGGAACTCCAGGCTGGAGTGATGGTTAACAAAATGGGATTTCATCACTCTTGCAAATTTTTTTCCAATCCACCCTCGGAGTACCTCAGTCCATTCAGATATGTGATGTCACCCTTCAGTTCCCCCATCAGTGTATCCATCATTTCCCCTTACATCTCTACCTTTCAATAGGATAGTACTTATAACACAATCCAAAGTCAGACAGAGCCCTGAGAAAATTTTTTCATGCACAAACCACCTCTCTAACTTACAATTAGAATGGCACAAAACAACTTCATTTAATTGGTCAAAACATACTTCAGCCAAACCACCAATAAA